GGATGTGGGCGCAGGTTCGCATGTGAATGTAATCGATGGTTTCCCTCGACATGGTCGTGCGCTTAGCCACGCGCAGCGTAGTAGATGTTGTTGGTGTTCAAGTTGATGTGTCGCCTTGTTCCTGCTTTGATCCCCCGTAGTGCCTGCTGTCGTGATGTGAGTGTTGGGTTTGTTTGCTTTTGGCTCTGTGGCCGTGGTAGTCTTCGTTGCCTTGGAGAAGCTCAGTTGCCGGCTTGCGTTTGATCCGTTGACTGTCGTGATGTGCAAGCGCATACACGGCACGCGTATAAAGTCAAGATCACACACAGGCGCATCAGCTCCCAGCACCACAAGCTTGCCAAACAAGAGTCATGTGTGTGTGTGTGTGTGTGTGTGCGTGCGTGCGTGTGTGTGTGTGTGTGTGTGTGTGTGTGTGTGTGTGTGCTTGTGAAACAACCCCCCCCCCCAACAAGAAGTTTGCGAGGTCCAAATTGTGCAGACGACAAGCGTTTGTTCATCTCAGGTAACAGCAGCAGGCAGCATGTCAGGATAACAAGCACGGTACATGGGTGAACTGGAGAAGCGAGCGCAGGGTGCATGCCGCTAGATGTCTGGGGGCGGGCCGGCCACGATGGGGCGAGGACCGGGCCCAGGCACAAGCTTGAACACCTGCATCCAATCTGCAGCCCAATACTCAAGGTAGGTGGCGTTGTCACCCTGCTCACGCAGACAGGAAGTGACAAAAGCACGGGCGTTCTGTGAGGGTCGGACGTGGGTGATTACGACACGCGCGCCTGTGTGCTGCGTGTTGCGTGTTGCGTGTTGTGTGTGTGTGTGTGTGTGTGTTGTGTGTGTGTGTGTTGTGTCGCGTGTACCTGAACCAGTGTGTGAAGGAAAGAATGTACGTGTCTGACCTTGAAGAGGCGGTGATATTGAATGTAGCAGCCTTGCTTGACTGCAGGCACAACGATGGGGTTGAATGACTGCTGCCACATCCCTGTCGCCTCGATTCCGGGGGCGCGCAGCATACCAAGCACCCAGTTCTGCAGCCCGGGTTTGGTGAGGCAACCCAGCCTGCAACATCAGTCGCACATATGAAGAGCAAAGCGATATTGGTCACAGTTCGTGAAGCAACAAGCGATACTCACAGGTGCGTCTTTGATAGCAAGGCACCGCCTGCTCATTCCTTCTATGAGCAAAGCATGCTTCTCTGTGTGTCCGTGTGTGTATGTGTGTGTGTGTGGCGGGTGGTGTGTGTGTGTGTGTGTGTGTGTGTGTGTGTGGCGGGTGTGTGGTGTGTGTGTGTGTATGTGTGTATGTGTGTGTGTGTGTGTGGCGGGTGTAGTGTTGCTCACGTGATATCTGGTGCCTCAATCAGGTGGTAGAAGATGTCACTGGCGGCGAGCATCGTGCCTTCGCCGCCGCCAACGCACCCGCCCTGATGAGCACAGCCGCACAACATAGGGCAGACGACAGGGGTGGTGAGGAATTGGTGTTCACGGGCACAACATGGGCGTGGCAGACATTATCACGAATAGTGGCGGTTGTGCAAGGCAACGAATACAAAGGCCAAAGCGAGGGCAGAGTACGCAATGGAACATGAGACAGTGGCGACGGCGCACCAGCACATTCCCCCAACAGACAGAGAGACAGAGAGACAGAGAGACAGACAGACAGACACACACACACACACACACACACACACACACAACAATGGTAAGTGAATGGCCAACCTTTGCCCAGGTGACGTTCCAGTGCTCACAGTCTTTGGAGGTGAAGATGGCGTCGCCCGGAAGGCCTGCACCCGTCACGCTCCAGTCGACAAAGTCTTCACGCAGACCAGCAGCAAACAAGGGCACCGGAAGAAACATGCAGGTACAGAAGTGAGGGGGAAGAAGAATGACGCCCGGGAGACAACAACAGGCACAACATAACAACAAACAAAGCTCCACGCACGGCAATCAGTCAGGCGATGTGTGCGCAAGATACACGCTCGCATGCCGTCAGCTCCACCTTCCAACTTCACCTCGGCACGCACGCACACACACACACACACGCGCACACGCACAAAAAGAACATGCATACTTGGTGTCATGGCGATGCCGCGTGCGCTCTTGCCGGCTTTTGCATCCCACCCATGGAAGGTGACGTAGAAGTTGCCCTCCACTTTTGTGAAAATCTCCGGTGTTCCTGAAAGCTCAAGTGCAATGAACACACACACACACACACACTTGAGTACAAACGCGAGCATGATCTCAAACGTGCACACAATATGCGCGTCCTGGCATTCCACGTCAAAACGCACCTTCGTCATACATATTTTCATCACAATGAGCATGTGGCAGAGCGCAGATCCGCGACCACAGCTGGCCACCGTACACCACCTGAATGGATCAGCCAAAAATCAGCGGACACATTATGAACACGGACAACACCCCCAGACCTCAACACACACACACACACACACACAACACTGTCCAGCACGTGGAGATCGTGCAACTCCAACAGTTTGCCAACAGAACACACACACACACACATACACATACACACACTCACGCACACACACACATGCAGAACACACACAAAACGCAATCATACCGGGTTGTATGGGTTTGGTGTGAACATCCCCGTCGGTGTCTCGCCTTGGCGTGTGTAGTGGCACAACATCCAGTGGTCCGTGCGGTTTAAGCACTGGGCGATGTAGTGCCAGGTGTTTGTTTCGTCATCGTAGAAGCCGGCACCGTCGACGATGGCACATTCCTGGGCAGTGTTCGGGATTGGCGTCGCCACCACCGTGCCTGCGGACCAAGTCCTGCCTTCGTCTGTGCTGTTGCGCACGAGAATGCGTGCGTAGTCGGCCTTGCAGTAGCTTGGCTGGGTGGTGAACGCGTACTCGCTGTGGAACAAGTACCAGATCCCTGGGCGCGTCACAAACTGGAAGCCCACGTTCACTGATCATGACAGCCAAGCAAAACGACGCCACGTAACAATGAGCGACATGTATGTATGTATGTATGCATGTATGTATGTATGTATGTATGTATGTATGTATGTATGTATGTATGTATGTATGTATGTATGTATGTATGTATGTATGTATGTATGTATGTATGTATGTATGTATGTATGTATGTATGTATGTATGTATGTATGTATGTATGTATGTGCGTGTGTGTATGTATGTGTGTGTGTGTTTATTTGCACACGTGTGCGTGCTTGCACGATCGTGAGCCCACCATAGACTGCCACGCCCGAACACCAAAAGCAACAGCAATCACCACCACAAACACCACCACGAACAACAACAAAGACCACTGACTGACTTGCATACTGCGTCGATGGGGGCGGGGAAGGGAACCGAGCCTTGGACACATATTGGAAGTGGGCATCGTTGTTCCAGAAGTCTCCTAGGTCCACCGCCTCCTGCCCGTGAGCATCATCACACAGCAAGAAGCATGCGATCGCCAGCAAAGCAACCACTGCCACCATCGCGCTTCGTTTTGTTGTCGCCTTTCTGTGGTTATTTTTTGGCTTCACCACTCTGATTTGATGCACATTTAAAACCGGCCTGTGGTTCGGAAACAACCACCACCGCTGACACAGCACTCCACACCACCTCCACCATGTCACGTCCACACGCACACACACGCATGCCTACGCATGCGCACGCACACACACACACACACACACACACACACACGCACACACACACACACAGGGCGTGGGTGCTGCCGCTAGGCTGTTGTTTCCTCGATCATATGACTTGTTCTCTGTCATCAACCGCAACCGAAACAGAGCCGTGAGCCAGGTGAGCTGAGTGATCGACGTGGAAGTTGTGGGCGTGACAAGTGCACTCACCAAGTGTACCGCTTGAGTTGGTGAGTTGATGCATTGCCCTGCCTCGTTCTTGTGACTCAGTTCCCCTTCTCTAGCGAGGTTGTCTCTGTGTTTGGTTTTCCAACACACACACACATACACTTATGTGCCTGTTGTTGCTTGATACCACACTCCTCAAAGTAAGCTTGCTCGACATCTATTTACCCTTGCAAGCCTTTCAGTGCTCGGCCTCTGCTGTTACGCGTCACGTCCCCTGTAGAAACGCCCAAGAACACTCACAGCGTCCTGCACGGATTCAGAATTGCTGAACAGGACATGTGTGTTGTCTGCCCCTGTGCACTTGCTGGCTGTGGTGGGCAATTCAACAACGACTGCTGAGCTTCTATCAGAGCGCACGCATTCAAGCCTCAAAACGACTCGTCTAAGGCTGCAAGTCACAAAGCAACAGCCGCAAGCATCTCCCTCAACGACAGCAACAAGAGCACCAGATTCAGTAGCAGCAGCAGCAGCAGCAACAACAACAACAACAACAACAACAACAACAACAACAACAACAACAACAACAACAACAACAACAACAACAACAACAACAACAACAACAACAACAACAACAACAACAACAACAACAACAACAACAACAACAACAACAACAACAACAACAACAACAATAGCAGCAACAGCCTCCAATATGTCAACAACAGCAACTGAAACTACCGCGGCCACCACCAGCACGCTACAATCAGCCAGCGTATCAACACAACGCAAACAACGCACTTGGCTTGCTCAAGCAGGGGCAACAGTCCGTGACGCCTGTGCAGCGCTATCACGGTCATTCATCTTTGAGCAGGCCGTGCTGTTGGTGATCCTGTTCAACTGCATCACGCTCGCTCTGTATGATACAAGCGACTCCACGTGCAGCACGCGACGCTGCAAGATACTGGAGGTCGGTGGCTGACAATGATGCGTTGCGTTGTTTGTCAATGCTGTGGTTATCGCCCTTCCGTCGGCAGGGTGTGTCTGGGGAACGTACACAGGCGACAAAAGCTCTGCACACACACACACACACGCACGCACACACACACACACACACACACACACACACACACACACACACACACACACACACACACGTTCACGTACACGCACACACGCACACACACGTTCACCCGCCCTCACACATGGGC